TATATATATATATATATATATATATATAAATTTATTAATTATCAAAAATTTGAAAAAAAAAAAAAAAAATTTGTATAGGACCGGCCGTAACCAGTTATGGGACCGGAACCGAGACCGGATGGCTTAACCAGTTACCGGTAAGCTTGACCGGTTATGGAAGATTTCACCGGAACCGGGACCGATTATGGAGGGACCGGTTATTGAACGTTTTTGTCTTGATCAGGACCGACCGTAACCGGTTATGGCTCGGTCCAAGACCGATTTTTGGCCATCTCTATAATGTAGTTAGTGTTTGTTCACATCATAATTCCGTATTTCAAATTTTAGCAATTTAGTGGGCCTTGAATAATTAGATAAAGTTAAAGCCCATATTATAATAATTAATGCGGCCCAGCCTATATACCTACCATATTCAAATTGCATGACACGTGTAATTCAGTTGTTGACATGTCATCCGACAGCCAATCAGGAGGTGGGGGCAGTTGTGTTGTGGACCAGTATAAAAGAGATACTTAACCACGCGCCTAACTGCTTACGTGTAACTAATTATCTACGCTTTTTTTTTATTTTTTTAAATAATTTTCTTTTTTGTGTAAATACAAATCACCCCCTTCATGTCTTGATTAATTTCATATAAGCCCCTATAGTTTTTCTAAAATGACACATTTTAAAAAAAAAATTTGATTACCGACAACCTCAACCGGCTCTACACATAACCCGTTTATAAGGACACCAATGTGATGGGACATTTTCTGGACCACTCAGGGGCGGAGGATAGCTGGGGGGAGGGGCAAGATCGAACTCGTGACATATCGTGTTATCTTACTGATAGATTTAAATAAATAACAACATATTGTTACTTATTTTTAAGTTGGTCATTTTATTGCATATTGTATATTCTTAAGGAATTTGTGCAACAACAATGGTTATGTTGTTAACAAACATTACAACTACTTCGGATTTTATATCTGATGCATTAATTGATTTGTAATGCAGAATTACCGCCAAATTACTAAAAGCTCAGCTTAGCATAATTTTAGCTGAAGTCCATGAAATTTGGCTACATGAATCCCTTTGTTGTAAAGTTAAGACATAACTCACTTAGGATCGAATGGAAGATTGCCAACCGGATGAAAACCGAATAGATTATTGCTAGTACTATACTAGGATAAAAGTATAACCTATTTAAGATATGAGTATCTTTTCCTGATGATATCAATGGCCCACACTAAAAATTGATTGGTCGACAAAATCATCTGA